TACTTGACATCTTTTCATTTTAGATGTGATTATTCCTATAAAATCATAAAAAAAGATGATCATTGGAACAGCGTTTTCTTCTCACTGTCCAACTTGAGATTTTAATTGTGCACCAGGGTGACATTATCCTGGAACTGCTTGCTTACTATGACCATTTAGTTTAATTTGAAAACACTCTCATGTTTTTCTATTTCTCTTTAATATCCTGTTCCACCAACTTGAAGGTCTCCATCAGCATTTCCTGAAGGACAGCCTGGTGGAGATGATATCCCAACAGCTTGTTTGGAAAAGTCTTTATCTCTCTTCATTTATGAAAAAACAGCTTTGCCAGGGAACCGTCATGGTGGGCAGTTTTTTTATTTTAGCATACTGGGAGCATCCTCCCACTCTGTCCTAGCTTGTAAGATTTGTGCTGTGAGGCCTACTGCAGATACCTGAAAAAATTTTTTTTTTTTCTTCTTTTACTTGTTGTTTCATTATCCTTTCATTTTATTTGATAATTTATGGTTTCATTCATTATCATGGGATTGTCTTATGTAGATTGAACCTGATTGGAGAACATGGACCTATTTTTCTTATATATTTATGTTTCTCAGGGTATGGAATTGATTTCAACACTATGTTGTTATTTCATTTTATTTTATGCTATTATATATTTAAATATGATTTCTTTTTTTGGTGAGGGGAAGGTTCGCCATGGGTTGAACTCATGTGCATTCAACCACTAAGTCACATCTCCAGCCCTATTTTGTATTTTATTTAGAGACAGGGGCTCACTGAGTTGCTTAGCACCTCACTTTTGCTGAAAGTCTCTTTGCATGTGATCTTCCTGTCTCAGCCTCCAGAGCTGCTGGGATTACAGGTGCGCACCACAGCACCTGGCTTTAAATAAAACTTTTTTACGATTATATTTTTGTTTTCCATCTTGAACTGCAATGACTTGAATATTTCTTCTTTTGAAACTCTCTCAAAAATCCTTTAAAATTTCCTTTTTTCCATTTTAGCATCATCCACCCTGTCTCCAATGACTTTTCCTACCTCTCAGATCATGAATCTTTCATCAGTGATATCAATTCTGCAATTCATACTTTTATTCCATTTTCCATGATACTGCATTTTTAGCTCTAGCACTACTTCTTTTTGAGATGTATAGATACATATATTTTAAACTCCAGGACAACTTCTTCTTAGGTACATGCACCTTATTGTTGTTTTCGTCTTTTGCTGAATAATTCTTCCATTTTATTAAATTTGCTGAACCTCCTTAAGACAGTCATTTATATTTTTGCTGGGAAGTATATGAACTGTAATCTCTCCACAGTTGTTCCCAGCACTGCTTTTTCTCCCTTGTTATGTCATGGTTCTCTGATTGTCAAGGATCTTCAAGGTCACATGTCAATGTCTGCAAATATATTTGAAGAACTGTGTAATTATACTCTACATAGACTAGCTTTGTTTGGGAAGGACTTTCAGAGTGTTATGGCCTGCAATAAATCACCAAGTCAGTCTTAAAGCAGGAGATGGAACCATCTTTATTCACCAGCTGGCAGGAAAACGGCAGCCTGCAAGTCTGCAATCCTCGACCCACTCCAGGGGTTAGAGGATGCCTTTCATACCATAAGTAAAGCATGTCAGTACATTAATCATAAGTGACTATTGTTGTAATTCAAAACCATAAATAAAAATCATGATATTTAAAATCATAAGCAGAAGGGGAAATGGGCCAAAATGACCCTAGTTTAGTACACGTTAAAGAATGGTTACTAACATCTAGAAAAATGTTAGCATTCTATTCGATTAGGATACATTGCACAAATACAGTGTGTAAGAATAGAAAGATCAACTTTGTCATTTTGTGTTGCCAATATACTAGGCTAAGCAACTGTTGATGGGTACAGAGGCAGGGTTTCCCCATGGCAGAAGCATTTCTTATATGACATGGAGTCTCAGGGTAAAATGGAGTCTGTTTGGTCATTGCCCATAATGCCTGGCCCATAACAAGAGTAAGCCAGTTCAGAGAGTCTGAGCAGATGATATATATAGTCCCTAAGTCTGGGACCATGATGGCTAAGTCAATATTGGGGTACTCTTAGCTTGGTACAACTGCTGGCAGCAAGGAGTCAGGTAGGAATTCCGTGGCCCTTGAGGTGGCAGCAGTACTGGGGCATGCCAGTGAGGCTGGCATGGTTCTGGGAAATGCCCTGTACCCACAGCCCATGGGGCTTGTTTGTCACTGAGGTTTATCAGGGGCCCAAAGCCAATGGAGTCATCTGTCATAGATGTAAAGTGTAGATCAAGTCTGCCTTTCAAGGTAACAGATTCATGACTGGGGCTAGGGTACATAAGGGGATGCAGTCTGTGGGCACCATCTTGTAGTCGGGGGATGTGGCTCATTTCTGTTTAACATTATAGGGATAGTGTGAGGGTCCACAGTGTACTGTGTTTATTTCCATCTGTTTTCCCAAGGTGAATGATGGCTCCTGCACTCTTTGTGTCCTGAACTGCCAAGATTTATTGGATGTGGGTTAGATGAAACGTCTTTCACTTGTTATCAGCTATTACTAATATGATGATACAACCAGGTACTGTGATCTTACCTGTTTATTTAACTTTTTCCAGGTATTTTCCTTTGCAAATGGTTATTAAAAACATGAAATCTGTTCAAACTCTCCACACAGATGTTTATTCCAAGCCTATTTGCTCATGAATATTCAAGCACCTAGGCCCTGTTCTTAGAGTCTGCTTCCTAGAGAACATGAGTAGCCAAAGTGCATACAGAGTCCCATGGGAGCCTGTTCTTCATGCATGGCCTCAAGAATTAGAAAGGACTTTCCTTAAGAAGGAGCTCTAAACTGAAAAATGAAAGAGAACAAGCAGGGCTCCATCAACCTCAATCACCACTTCCTGTCCTGTATAACTATAGACCTAATTGCTTTCCTTGCAGTGCTATTTACAGACAGAACAGCTCAGTAGTACGTTCCACTGCCAAGTGGATAAAATTAATGGTGCAAGTCACAGGTGCAGTTAGTGAACTTTCCAAGAATAAACTCAACACAAAGAAAGGAAGTTGAATATTTAGCTTACACAATATACAGTTCAGAAAAGAATCAGTAGTTTAAATATAATGGGTAAAGTAATAATTCTTTTGGAAGAGAACTGAAGAATTTCTAATTAACCTTTGTTTTTGAATGATACCAAACAAATGAGCAAAAAACACAGTTATATGACTCTTCAACAAATCAAACACTTTTCCACATCGTCACATTATAGAGAACCCAGAAAAAAAAATTAACAAATTCATGAACCAATTAATGGCCAGGGGATTTGTGACTAAGTTGTCAAGAACACCTGATGTGTGAAAGTCTCTCTCAGTCAATGATTCCAGGAAAGCTGGACACCCACATGCAGAAGAATGAACTGAAACCTGTTTGTCACATAATGCACACAAAAATTGGTGAGAATGGATTGAGCATGTCAGTGTAAATCCTGAAATTATAAGAGGTAGACAGAAGAAAGTGCTATGATATAGGTTTGGGCAAGCACAGGAACCAAAAAAGATTGTTTCAAGCTTGATGGCTTCTACACAGTGAAAGAGAAAACCTACAAAGCAAAGAGACAACCAGAAAACTGAGGAATATATTTAGACACCATACATTGGATAAGATGTCAACATCCAAAATATTTGGACCTCTTTCAATCCAACAGTAAGAATACAAATAACATGACAACAAATTAAAAAAAAAGACCTGAACAGTCGTTTCTCAAAAAGAATATACAAATATTCAACAAGTCTATGTAAAAGAAATGTTCGACAGCTGGAATTTGGTGGTGCATGCCTGTGTTCCCAGTGACTAGGGAGGAGGAGAAAGGATACCAAGTCCAGGTCAATGTACCCTTAATGCCAAGGTCAGTGGCCCTCAAGGATTAGAGGCTGCTATACTGAGGAGTCTCCCCAGGGCCCCCTTCACATCCTTGTTCCTCAGGCTGTAGATGAAGGGGTTCAGCATGGGGGTGACCACAGTGTACATTACAGAAGCCATAGAACTTCCGTGGGAAGCCTGGGACACTGCAGAACTGAGGTAAACCCCAAGCACCGTTCCATAGAACAAAGAGACCACACAGAGGTGGGACCCACAGGTGGAGAATGCTTTATACTTGCTAGCAATGGAGGACATCCTCAATAAGGAAGAGACAATCTGAGAGTAAGAGAAAAGGATCCTTGTCATAGGAATCATACCCAGGAGGGCAGTCAGAATATACATAACAATATTATTGATAAGGGTATCAGAGCTGGCTGCATTGAGAATCTGAGCCAGTTCACAGAAGAAATGTGGGATTTTAGTGCCAGTGGAGAAGGTCAGTCGCTTCATTAGTAGAATATCAATCAGGGACACCAAGAACATGATGAGCCAAGACATCAGAACCAGCAGTCCACAGAACCGGGGGTTCATGATGACTGTATAGCTCAGAGGGTGGCAGATGGCCACGAAGCGGTCATATGCCATCACAGTCAGTAGAAAATTATCCATTCCAAGAAAAATAATTAAAAAATACACCTGAGTGAGGCATTCTATGTAGGAGATACCTTTGCTATGTGCCTGGATATTCACCAGCATCTTTGGGACCGTGGTGGAGGTGAAACAGATGTCAACAAAGGACAGGTTAGAGAGGAAGAAGTACATGGGGGTGTGGAGGTGGCAGTCAGAGCTGACGGCCAGGATGATGAGCAGGTTCCCAAGCACTGTGACCAGGTACATGGACAGGAACAGTCCAAAGAGAAAGGGCTGCAGGTCTGGATCTTCTGAGAGTCCCAGGAGGAGGAATTGGGATGTGGCTGACTCATTCTGTGCATCCATCTACCTGTTATGATTTCTGGGAAGGGAAGAAAAGCAGCATTCAATGACTAGCAAAGGGTACTTCACTTAGTCATCACTTCAGAATAACTCCACTGTATGCAGTTTCTTCATCCTGTAGTGATTGCTGCCAAGGAGTGTCATTTACTCAGCCAAATGACATCCACTTCTCTTAAAGTGCTCAAACATGTGAACTTTCTTTAAATTAACAAATCTCTCTCTGTGTTCTATAATCAACTCACTTTTAAATCAATTCTTTTAACCGATTCTTATTTTTAAATCTATAAATATGATCTAATATTTCCTTGATGTGACCTGTCCATAGAACTGAAGATATTTCATATTTTCCTAGACAGTGTCCCTATTACTTTATGCTGCAGCTGTATAATAGTGATTAATACGGATTTTTGTTCCCAACAACCTTTATTCTTTCACTTGACATGTCATACTGATACTATAGCTGTTTTTCAATGACATTCTTTTTGCTAAATATACAGTCATTGGTCTTATCTGTAAAGTTAAAAATGTGTGTGTTGTAAGATTATTAGTAAATGATGATTATTATTAATTTTATTAGTATTTTACAAATATTCAATTATGATATTTCAGATATATATCTCTCCTAGTGGACATTAAAGATCTGTGATGTTAAAATGGGGTTACTGAGTCAGTAAAATGGACAGGAGAAAGTGATACTCAGTTCCTGTAGTAGAGTTCACTCCAACAACACACCTTGAAAGATTATTTGAACTCTCTAGCTCTAGTACATTGCATCCACAGCAGAGGTAGTAAATGTTTACTACCTGAACATTTAAAGAATTAAAGAATAACATTTTATATGAGATGATGCAATTTTTCTATGGAGCTTCCTATGACATATTGTGAGCATTTCAAAATGAGAACTTGTGTTCTTAACATATCGGTAAATCTATCTTGCATGGGAATAACTTAGCACATATGCCATTTAAACTCTGTTAACCATCATAAATGGAATCCTGATCATGTTTAATAGAAGAGTTTGTTTACCCCCTTGTCTGCCATACAACACTTCTAATTAATGAAGATCTCTACAGTTCCTTCATTCAGAGAATTCCTGCTGAGGGAGTACTTCTAAAAGCAAAAAGTATGTGGATCACACACAGAAAAGGGGAAATATCAGACCACCATTAGGGACAAGCAGAAGGCCTTCTGACTGCATGTGCTCCTATAGCCATACACTTCAGTGGGGCCATCTGATATTAAAATCAGCAGTCAATGGCCAAAATACACAATTGATAGATGTGAATAAAATATTCAAATCATGAATCGATTCATTCCTTAAAGGGGAATTCATGAGTTAAAAATTAAAAAGTAAGCTGGGTGCGGTGGTGCACACCTGTAATCCCAGTAGCTCGGGAGGCTGAGGCAGGAGGATTTTGAGTTTAAAGCCAACCTCAGCAAATGTGAAGCCTTAAGCAACTAGTAAGACCCTGTCTCCAAATAAAATACAAAACAGGGCTGGGGAGTGCCTCAGTGTTCAAGTACCCCAGAGTTCAATCGCTGATAATAAAAAATAAAAGTAAAAATAGATAAGTTTATTTTTAAATATTTATGTTACATTGTCAGTAAGTATGCATTCCTAGGGAATACACAAAAATAGCAAATAAGAAAAAAATCCCTGAGAAACAATTTAGTCTGTAAAGTTTGATAGGAGACTATTCTGAAACAGAAATGTTGGATCTGAGAAAGGAAGGTTGGGTCATTGTTCACCAGTAATGAAGGAAGAAGCATTCTAGGCTCAGTGAGCAGGAATATGCAGTGGCCCTATCAGACAGTGGAGCTTGGTATAGAAGAGATTTGAAAGGGCAGTGTGACAGAGAGCAGGGGTGGAGGTCCATGGATTAGAACGTGTGAGGCCCACAGTGGAGCCTCTGTCACCTTCTGTTATGTCCCAGTGATACTGGTAAATACAAGAATATTTGTGAGTCTAAGGTTACAAAGAGTTTTCTTCTTGTTTGCCTTTTGTGAGGTTTCCATGGTGTGTGTCACCTTGAAAGAAATTCAATGTTGGATGTATAATAAATATGATGCTACATCTAGTATACAGAGAGGAAATCTTCCAACTGGTCATATGCTTGAATATTGGCACAGAATTTAAAAATTAAATTAAATAACAAGCATTCATGATTATTTTAAAGGAATAATGCAGTACTAGCAAGCAAATTCAATTCTGGGGATGAAAGCCAGATTAATTGTGTTTAAAAACTTCATCAAAAACTAGATCAGTGAAGCAATATCATAACAAAAACCTCAGCTTCTGTAATGTACTTGAAAATATTTATAAGCCTTACTGTGTGTAACAAGCAAGGCTGTGATCGATGATATAGAGTGACTGTTTTCAAGCCATATAAAACATTACAATGTTTGTGCTAAATTATGAACATTCCAAGGCAATATATTTCACATTCAACCATTTGCACTTTTCAAAGGGTTGGTAAAATGAGAAGAGGGAATTGGACTGAATGTTAAACATCAGAAATAATCACATTAAAAGTAGATAGACTATGGACCCTAAAGTTAAACAATAATGACAAAAAAAATTGAATTAATAGTAGCTACTGATTAGTAACACAGCAAGGTAAGATGGGAGAAAACAACATAAAATTCAATCAAGTGTGAAACAAAATAAACAATACTTTGTGCATAATAGGTCTTCAGAGAACTGAACATGAAGGCACATGCCTATGATCCCAGTGACCCTGGAGTATGAGGCAGAAGAATCACAAGTTCAAAGCCAGCGTAAACAACATAACAAGGTGCTTAGCAACTTAGTGGGACCATGCCTGAAAATTTTTTTAAATTTAAAAAGAGCTGGAAATATGGCTCAGTAATTAAGCACCTCAGTTGCAATCCCTGTCTCTCTCTCTCTCTCCCCCACACACATAGATGTGTGTGTGTGTGTATGTGTGTGTGTATGAGGCCCACAGTGGAGAACAATTTGCTAAATGATGAGCTTTGAGGATTCATGCCTTGAAATATATATATATGGAGAGAGAGAGAGAGAGACAGAATGAATAGTTAATAAATAAGTAATTGGATGAAGAAAATCTGGCAGTAGCGTACAATTCGTCAGAAAGATTGTAAAAGAATTAGACTGTCCACGATATCACTCTTTCCGGAGAAAGGTTCTATATTCCAAAGAGTGAGAGGATAAACAGAGGATAGGAAGAGGTCTCAATGGAAACAAAAGTGCATTCACAGATCAGGGACTTCACCTTCTCAGCCCAAAGAAATGTGGAGCGTTCCTGTTCTCAGTGTCGAAGGGAAAGCCCAGTCCCACATTCTCTCCCCTTTTCCTTCTTCCTCCATCCACCTCACTGGGACACACTTACTGTCTCCAGTGGCTGCCACTGAAGCTTTATCTTCTCCACAATCTGTTCCCAGAAAGCCCTCTTACTTATTCATGGATGCCAAGATTACGCAGTACAGCAGTGAGGGGCCAGAGAGGCATGTTTAAAAGTTTCTACTCTCAAGGCATGAATCCTCAAAGCTCATCATTTAGCAAATTGTTCTTGTGTCTTTTCACTCTCCAAACTAGTCAACTCCCCTGGGATACAAAGGAGAAAGAACAGTGGAAATTTTTCATCAGCTTTGCATTTCTGGAGAAAGTGGCAGGGGAAAATGGGTGTATATCTTCTAAGAAAAACTTTTTTCTTGGTTTGATTTCACAGTCATAAGGAACAGTTCATTCCTGTAAAGAACAGGTTTCAGGAGCCATATTCTCTGATGTGCCTTCTTTGAATGATCTTTGGAGATTTTAGAAATTATTTCAAATTTATGATGTTATAGACAAATGAAGTTCTTTCTTTTGTATTTTTCCTCTTTTATTTTTATATTCAGGTGCTTACCTATTTTTCATTTTCATGTGTTTGCCTATTTATTTAATTATCTAAACTGACAGGTAATATTGTAAATATTTATTATGTGCAATATGATAGCTAGAAATATTTTCCATTGTAGTGGGGCAAGGTGGTACATGCTTGTAATCCCAACAACTCTAGAGGCTGAGGCAGGTGTTTCAAAGCCAGCCTCAGCAAATTAGCAAGGCCCTATGCCACTTAGTGAGACCCTGCCTCAAAAATAAAATAATATAAAAACAGGGCTGGGGATGTATCTTAGTGTTTAAGCACCCATAGGTTCGATCCATGGTACTGAAAAAAATAAAAAATGCTCAGCATCACTGATCATTAGCATAACACATATAAATCTTCTAGGAGACACCACCTCACATGTATTAAAATGACTATTATCAAAAGCACAGAAGTTACTGTTTTTGGCAAGGATATTGATAAAAGGGACCATTAAATTCTGTTGTCTGAAATGTAAATCAGTATAGTAATTATGGAAGAAAGTGTGCAGGGATTTAGAAAAATTAAAATAGTACTACTATCATATCCAGCAATACCATTACTGCATGTTTATCCAGAGGACACGAAATCAGTATGTCAAAATAAATGTATATTCCCATTATCATGGCAGCATTATTCACAACAGTCAAGTGTTTACTATCAGATGAATAGATTGAAAATGTGGCTCATTATATACACAAAAGGGAACAGTAGTCATGCTAAGAAACACGTGATCCTAGCCAGACATGGTGGCACACCCCTGTAATTGCAGTGCCTTGGGTGTCTGAGGCAGGAGGATCCCAGGTTCAAGGCCACCTCAATAACTTAGCGAAACCCTGTTTTAAAATAAAAAGAAAAGAAAAGGCTGGGGATGTGGTTCCATGATTAAGTGCCTCTGCATTCAATCCCCAGGAAAGAAAGGAGAGAAAGAAAAGAAAAGAAAGGAAGAGAGAGAGAGAGAGAAAGAAAGAAAGAGAGAGAGAGAGAGAGAGAGAAAGAAAGAAAGAAAGAAAGAAAGAAAGAAAGAAAGAAAGAAAGAAAGAAAGAAAGAAATCTTAGCATTTGCTGCTACATGCATGAACCTCTGTGACATTACGTCAAGTGGAATAAACCAGGCTTATGATGAAAAATACCAATGACCAATGAGCTAACTTGCTCATTTATATGTAAGTCTGAAGAAGTAGAATTTGTAGACAGAGTAGAACGGTGACTATCAGAGGTGAGGGGTTGAAGGTTAGGTACATGTTGGTCAAGGGCACAAAATTCCAGTCAGAATGAAGAATGCCAAGAGATCACTTGTACATCACAATGAGTATAAGTAATCAATCACAATGAACTGCATACTTGAGAAAAAAGAAAGAATAACATACAGCTTGAAAATTATTTGCAAACACATATGTAAGAAGTGTCAAATAGCAGAAAAAGCAATCAATTTTTAGCACAAGAAAAGTACAATGTGTACAATTTCTAAATGAGCAAACTTCCTACGACAACAAGCACTCCAAAAGGTTCTCAATGACTCAGGAAAATGCACTCAGAAGCAAAATGAATACTTCACAACCAAGAGAATGCTGTACTTTTTATAAAACTGAAAATCGCAAGGATGTCAAGATAACAAAAACTTCACACTTTAGAATGCAAAATTTGCCAATTGCAATGAAGAGTTTAGTGATTCCTCAAAAAGTTAAACATACAATTAACATATGATCCAGCTGTCCTACTCCTATCTATATTACCTAACTAATGACAACTAATTACTACGTCATGCACTGCATAACAATGAGAATAGTTTCTTAGTAATGAATCACAAGGCAATTCTGTCATTGTGCAAACACCATAGAGTGCTCCATGTTAACTACCATGGCTGTGACATCACTAGGCAATCCAATGTTATGGCCACAATCATAGACAGTCTATCCCTTACATAAATCATCAAGAATACAACATGTGACTGCACTCACACATGAACAATGATATTTAAAAACTTTTGTGTTTCAGCATAAGAAAGTCCCTTTATTTCTGAGGTCTCAAAGACCAGAGGATGCTCTGCTGAGGAGTCTCCCCAGAGTCCCTTTCACATCCTTGTTCCTCAGGCTGTAGATGAAGGGGTTCAGCATGGGGGTGATCACACTATACATCACTGAGGTGATCAAACGTCTCTGGGAAGCATGGGTCACGGCAGAACTGAGATAAACCCCAAATGCTGTTCCATAGAACAAGGAGACCACACACAGGTGAGACCCACAGGTGGAAAATGCTTTGTATTTGTTCACAATGGAGGACATCTTCAATAAGGAGGAGATAATCTGAGAGTAAGAGTAGAGGATCCCAGTCATAGGAATCACACCCAGCAAGGCAGACAACACATGCATAACAACATAATTGACATGAGTATCAGAGCTGGCTACATCGAGAAGCTGAGTCAGCTCACAGAAGAAATGTGGGATTTCAGTGCCTACGGAGAATGTCAGTCGCTTCACCAGTAGAATATGAATGAGGGAGACCCAGAACATGATGAGCCAACACAACAGAACCAGGAGGACACAGAGCCGGGGATTCATGATGACTGTGTAATTCAGAGGGTGGCAGATGGCCACAAAGCGGTCAAAGGCCATCACAGATAAGAGGAAATTATCCATTCCAATAAAAATAATCAAAAAATACACTTGAGTGAAGCACTCTATGTAGGAGATGTCTTTTCTCTGCACCTGGATATTCACCAGCATCTTTGGGACCGTGGTGGAGATGAAACAGATGTCAACAAAGGACAGGTTGGAGAGGAAGAAGTACATGGGGGTGTGGAGGTGGGAGTCAGAGCTGACGGCCAGGATGATGAGCAGGTTTCCAAGCACTGTGACCAGGTACATGGACAGGAACAGTCCAAAGAGAACAGGCTGCAGTTCAGGATCATCTGAGAGGCCCAGGAGGAGGAACTGTGATACACATGTATGGTTCACTTCTTCCATGCAGTGGGTGTAATTTCTGCAGAAGGAGGTAAAAGCAATATTCAATGATCACTCAGCTAGAAGCTCAGCTAGTCCTCACCTCACGTATCACCCTTGGGAGTGTCCTTCATTCCCTGTGAGTCTGCCAAGGAGAGTGACTTACTCACCCAAGTGAAAGTCCATTTCTCTTTTAGAGGTATGATCAGACTTTCTTCAAATTCGCAAAAGTGTCTTTTCTCATCTACTTGCAAGTTTTAATTCTCATTTTTAAAAATTTATGCACATGAGTTCATGCCTCCTCAATGAAATCCCTCCATAAGAATTATAGAAATTTCTCATCTTTTTCTTGGAAATGTTCATAATTCTTCATGCTATATCTCTATAATCATGATTAATCATGGATTTTTACTCTATCTAGACTTTATGCTATGACATGAGACTTGATAGTGATGTGGTAGTTCTCTCCCTTATTTTCTTTCTACATATGTAGTTATTTCTATGACCTATTTATGAGGATTACAAGGGCTTTTGTGCTCAGTAGGAGTCTCAGTAATGCTTGCTGTAAATAGATGCTGTAATTATTATGTTAATGTTACTTTAAAACTCCTCCTTTATGATGTTTTATGTGTGTAAGTATTCCGATATACATGATATAACTGTGGCTTTAAAATGGTATTCTGGAGTCAGAATTCCTGGAGTAGAGTTTTGCTCCACCAGCATTCCACCGCTGTGATGTGGAGCAAGGCACACAAACTCTTTACCTACCTTTACCTCACCTCTACAGCTGAGGTAGTCAGTGTTCACTCCGTGGTATGTAATATTTCTACTTGTGATTCCTGTGGCACCTGATGGTCATTTACTACACAGGAGCTTTTCTTCTTCACATATCAGTACAACAGGATTCCTTGCTATCATTTGGCATTCTCCCTCTGAAACTGAATTCACCATCATGGATGAATTCTGTTCCTTATAAAAGAGCATTTTGGGTGCTTCTTTGACTACCATCTGCATTTCTAATTAATGAAGACCCCCATGGTTCCTTCATTCAGAGAATGCCTGCTGAGTAAACTCTTCCAAGAAGAAGAAGAAGAATCATGTAGCCCACATCACTTTTAAAATCAAATATAAGGTACTTGTAATAGTATGTGCTTCTGTGTGGGGCTCTTGGATGAGGCATATTATATTAAAATCCATCATAGTTAATAACCAAAATATATCTAATAGATTTGACTACAAAATCAAATATGATATAAAATCATTCATTCTAGAAAATAAAGAGCAAATTTAAGATTTAAAAAGTGAATATTTCTATTCTCCATGACAAAAAGGGTCAGCTTTATGAATGCCCAAGGAATAAATATAAAGACTGGAAAAAAAAATGATTGAGGACAAATTTTGTCTGCGAAGGCAGACAGGAGAGTCTACTCTACATTCAACACAATGTACTTACATTAAAACACTACAGTATTTGTGCGAAATTCATGAACCTGCCAAGGCAGTCACCACCAACCTCAGCTTTAAATATTTTCCAAAACATACTGGGTTGGTAATATGAGAAAAGGAAATTGTACTAAGTGTTGAGCATCAGAAACAATTAAACTAGCAGTGTATATAGTGTGGGCCTTAAAGTGAAATGATAACTAGAACAATAGAGAACTAATAAGAGCTATCAATTAGGCCAGTAAAAAATAGTGAGGAAATATAATGGTAAAATACATTCAACTTTGAAACAAAATAAGTCATACCTCATCCATAAAAAGATCTTCAGTGAGTTGTTAACAATAAATAATTGGATGGAGGAAATCTTAGAAGAACCTATAATACTAGTGAACAATTGGAGGTTCTTTAAAAAAAAAAATCCTGTCATAGAGAGAAGCTCTAGATCCCAAAGAGTGAGAAAAGGAAACAGAATACCTGGAAGAGACGGGTCCTAATGGAAACTGAAGTGCCTTCAAAGTACGCAGGTACTCCACGCTCATTCCTCATCGACTCCATAAACATGGATCATTCATATTCTTACTATTCTAGAGGTAAAACCCAGTACCCAGTCATCTCCTCTTTCCTTCTTCCTCCGCTAGCCTTACAGGGTCACACCAGCTCTCTCAGATATTGTCATTGGAGCTTACTCTTCTCCACCATCTGTCCCTGGGAAGCTCACTTGACTCTTCACAGAGGCTGAGACCAGAGAGGTGCAGGCGAGGGGCCAGAGAGACAAGCTGAGTTTAAAGTTTCTACTGTCTCAGGTTTGAATTCTCAGATCTCCTCATTAAGCAAATTGTCCTACTGTCTTTCCACTCTGCAAACAGTTCACCTCCCTTGAGGGACAAAGGAGATGGCAGGATGGAAATTTTTCAGTCAGTTTTGTGCTCATATAGTGGGAGGGATAGATTTGTGTACTCCAAGAAAAATCTCTTTTTTCTTTGTTTTGGTTTAAAAGTCATATTATGTGCTCAAAGGAAATGATTAATTTTCACAAGGAACTAGTCCCATGAACCAGCCAACTCCCTCAATGTGTCTGCTTTTAACAATCTTTGGAAACTGTAAAAATAATTTCAGACTCACAAAGTTGGGTGGGGAAGGAGTCCTTCCTTTTTAATTTTCCATAGCTCTTTTATTTTTCATGTTTACATGTCTATTTATTGAATATTTTTTCAAATTGACAGATAAAATTGTAGATATATATGGGTACAATAAGAAATCTAGAATTATTTTGCATTATGCAATGGTAAAAACTAAAAACCAGCATGTGCATTACCTCATTAATATCTGTGTTAGGGTGAGAATATTTCACATCAGCTCAACATTTTTTAAGAATACAATACATCATCACTAGTTGAATTGCTAGGCCATAGGTCTCTTGAATTGTTCCTCATATTTAAAAGGAATTCTTACCCTTTGGCCAACATTTCCCCAGTATTACCTTCCCAATGTCCAGCCTGTGGTAACCACTCTTCCTCATTCTATTTCTTTTATATCACCTTCTAAAATTTTCCACAAATGAGCGGTCATGTAGTATTTATCTCAGTTAGCCTAGGTTACTTCGATTCCTATAACGTTCTCCAGGTTTATCCATGTGGTTGTAGATGATTTCCTTTTCTAATTCAGAAATCCCATAAGGACTTTTCAGAATATAAATTTTAAAAAGGGTCAGCAACTAGGAAATAGATATAAAAAAGTCCTAGGTATGGAAATATATTTTAGTATGGAAATTAGAATTCATTGTGTTTACATACTACATTTTCTTTATCCACTCCCCTGTTGACGGACAGTTAGATTGATTACATATCTTGGCTATTTTGAAAATCTTGGAAAGCAGCTATCTTTTCAAGATACTCATTTTATTTACTTGGATTCTACCCAGCAATGGTGAATCAGACAGCTCCGGAACTTCCTCATGCTGGGAATAAAATGACCCCTTGCTGTGGAGGGGCACCACTGATACTTTCTCTAACACAGCCTAGCTAGATCTACATAGGTATAGACTCCGATTTTGTTTCTGTAAACTTTAACCAATTCTGTGGGAACCACAGAGAAGTAATCTAGCTGCATCTCTTCGGTTTGATCAAAACTGAAAATGAAATTCTTTTTTCCTTTTCTATTGTTCTCCTATTTCTTGTGAAAGTCATTGGCCAATTTCAGCCAGCCAACAAGCAAGGTGCTGGGCTAGAATTCCATGACCACAAAGGTTGCCACAATACTGGTATTAAAATTTATATTTCCCTCTGATAGCCATGCTTCTCTATAAGAGGGTTTGTATTGAGGGAATTCTTATAAATAAAAAAAAAGGAGTTTAAGATTGCTTTGTGCTGGGCATGATAGTGCACACCTGTAATCCCAGTGGCTCAGGAAGATGAGAAAGGAAGATCATGAGTTCAAAACTAGCCTCAGCAAAGGTGAGGAACTAAGCAATTCAGTGAGACCTACTGTAGGCCCGTTTTTTATCACTGGGCACCACATTGGGACCCTGTCTCTAAATAAATACAAACTAGGGCTGGGGATGTGTCTCAGTAGTTGAGTGCCCCTGAGTTCTATCCCCAGTGCCCACCCTCAAAAAAAAAGATTGCTTTGTTTCTGGGTCTTCACTAAAATCAAGGTTACTAAGAGTTAATATAATATCAAGTATAATTCTATGTGCAAAAAAGTATAAAAGTTTTTAGTTGTGTTTCAATTAAAGTACTATAAAAAGCATAAAGTATTTCATCTTACTAAAATTGAGTAATTTGTCTAAATTCAGAAATCCCATAAGGATTTTTCAGAATATAAATTTTAAAAAAGGGTCAGCAACTAGGAAATAGATATATAGATAGGTATGGAAATATATTTTAATATGGAAATTAGAAAGAAAAAGAAGTGTTTCTGGATGAGGAAGTCTTTTGTATGACAAATTAAACAAGTTGTAGTGTGTCTAAGTAAGTTACACAAGGTTTTTGGAGGAAAAATCTCAAAAATAAGGATAAATCTCAAAAATCACAAAAAGGTTTGTGTCTAATTAAGTTGAGTATAATTAGCATTATCAGTTAAAGTTATTTAAAGCTTTTTTCCTAAGGTCAAAAATAATATACTGATATAAACAAGAATTTATTTATTAAATTTATTAAAATTCTCTATGTGTTTCTTAAAACACTAATCTGCTCTTATCTATCAAGATAATTTCTTGAATACATTAGGTTTTATTGTTTAAGGGAACTAGTAGACTTTTCTAGTAGACTTAGAAAATAATATATGAGAACTTTGTAAAATAATATTTAAGAAAGAGGCAAAGATCAGGTTCAGAAATAAAACACTTTACCTAAGATTTGTCAAAATTCTACCTCACCTGAGTTAAGACTCTGCCCTCACCTTATTCCATGGTAGAATGATTCTAAATTAGGCTAAACTTAAGTTCATTTAAATTTAAGTTCTAAATTATAGATTTTTGTTAGAAAAATTACTGTGATCTCAAAATAAACAGGGGATATAGTATATAACTATAAACTAAGGTTTGGGATTATAAAAAATATGTTTCTTGGTT